GGACGGTCATCGGAGAAATTGCCCAGGCATTGCCTGCGAGACCCGGTGACCCTCCAGTCAAAGACCATGCGTGTGCATGATCTCACGCTGCCTGTTTCATCGCGATGACGGCTCCGTGCCCTGCACCGAGCTAGAGGCAGTTCGGTTGGTCCGGTAGACTGGTGGCAGCCTTTGCCCCCCTCTGGGTATCCATCGGCGACGGCCAGAGGCCAATCTGCCGGCAGTCCGGCACCGGGCTCCACTGAATCCCATGCTTTAGTTCCTTCCATGCAGCTTCCTCCCCTCACTCTTTTCAACCTTTCCATACCGCTTTTTCCCCTCCCAGACAACCACGGGGTAAATTAAGAACAGCGCACAATTAGCAGGCACCGCAAGTTATTTCCTCGCATCTTTCTACCTCGCTCGCAGAGAGGAGCTAGTGTGCAGTGCGTGTCTAGGTATAACCACAGCCCGAGCACGATTCAGCTCGCCAACTGTGGGTTTTCTAGATCGACGGCATGGTGGTCTCGGGACTATAGGATCGATCGATGGCGTCGTCGGGCAGCGACGTGCCGGCGGCAAGGGCGGCCGTGGCGCGGAACGATCTGACCGAGGCGCGCGATGGCACGGCGAGGCTCAGGAACTTCCTGCTGCAGCTGGACGACCAGCACGCGGCGTGGGCGCGGCGAGGCTCAGGAACTTCTTGCTGCAGCTGGACGACCAGAGCGCGGCCGAGGCATGGCTGGCCCCGGTGTCCGCGCGGGACCAGCGCAGCTCGCCGGCGGACCAGGCGTCGGCGCTGAGGCCGTCCCCATCTGGATCGATGCCGGCGTCGGCACCCTGCGTGCGTGCTCTGCTCTGCTGAGCACTCCTGGGTCAGGACTGGAGAATAGAAGCTTTTTTAGGGTTCCCAATGCAAAATCTCCTGACACATATAAACAGTTGTTAACTCTACATCATAGCACATTGAGAATAAGGAAAAGTATAGGGGCCTAAGTGCAAAACGTTTGTCCTATTAGGTTTTCCTTTTACTTTCATGTTTTAATCCGCTAATAAAAGTTATAAAATCTATATGAAAACATACAAAAGTCATAAAATAAAATAAAACAAGTTCTGTTTTGTATCTCATAACGAGATCTATGCAATAGATATATAATATCGTCCACATTAGTGCAACTTCAAATATTCAACATTAACGATTCAGTTTGTCCATCTATATCCATTTCACATATTGAAGTAATTTTATCATTTACTTCCAGATAATCATGCTCCAAATTTTATTTGGCATCTGTATAATAATATTTGAGAAACCAAATCAACCAAAGGTTTATTTCCACCGGTTAAAATCCATGCATGTGATTATACTCTTAAATAACCACGTCTGTGGTCGTTGTTGTCCATTTACAAAAATTCGATTTTTTTTTGCAAATTCTATACTTCATATAAAAATTGCTTATATGACTAACACAATACATATCAATAACATCCATTATTGTAGGGCTAAACAGGTAATTTAAATACATACACTAACATTTGTATATATTCACGTATCTACGAAGGTCGCTACATATTACTACACATAATTTCCACCTATAATCTTTTCACGTACGTTTTCTTGCAAACCAAGGATTTGTCTTACCAACGTTGCTTAAAAAAACATACATCTGTCTCCGTACAATTATTATTACTCCGTACATGAAATAAATTTTTTATCAACTATAATACTTCGACATAACACAGGCACTGCACGGCAACGCCGCGCGCCTTTCTAGTGATAGTACTCTAAAAGAATTCATGATAAATCCAATGACAATTTTATATATAAATGGCAAACATATTATTTATCAAAGTTTGAAAGGTTGACAAGACAAATTCTACAGAACCTAAGTAGCAGTTGAGGTTATGACGTATCCAAGCTTAAGTGACTAACAAACACGAAAATTATGTAAAATAGCACAAGACAAAGATCTAGCAACCCTTATTAATTATATATCTGGCCCCCTGTCTAACTTTCTTGTGCGTTAGGTTATTCCTCTTTCGCCTCTTCCATTGAATCCATAGGAGGTGCTGCAGATTTCATCTTAGCCTTCTTCAGTGTTTCCACTAAACCTGCCAAGCAGTAATCTGCTTCTCTCCTCCTCTTGATCCGCAGCATGAGTTTACCGGCCGCGTCTGCCGGTGCCCCATTCATCTCATCAAGCAATCGATCGATTACACCGTTCCTCTTGCCCCGCGGCATGAGGTTATCAGCCACGTCTGCCGGTGTTGTGTCGATCTCATCGAGCAGTTGCCCGATTTCACCGAATAGTGAATGCTCAGTGATGTCTAGATACCTCTTAGCGAGCATCTTGAAGGCCTCGAACCGGCAGTAGGACATCTCAATGTGCCTGTCCATCCTACCCCGCCGGACCAGCGCCGGGTCGAGCCGGTCAACATGGTTCGTGGTGAACACAAAGATCCGCTCGCTGCCACAGGCCGACCACAGCCCGTCGACGAAGCTGAGCAGCCCCGACAGTGTCACTTTGCCATTGTTATTCTTCTCGGACAGCTCTATCACCAGGTGGTTGTCGTCATTCTCTTTGGCTGCCTCCTTGCCCTTGCGCTTGGTGGTGATTTCGACCTCGATCGCATCGATGTCCTCGATAACGATGATGGATCTGTCCGTCGTATCAAGGAAGAGCTTCCGCAGCTCGGCGTTGTCCTTGATGGATGTTAGGTCGAGGTCATAGACATCATACTCGAGGAAGTTGGCCATAGCCCCGATCATGGTGGACTTGCCTGTGCCCGGCGGCCCATGCAGGAGGTATCCCCGCTTCCACGCCTTGCCGACCTTGGAGTGGTACTCCTTCGCCTCACGGAATGCCGTGAGATCCTCCATGATCTCGACCTTCTTGCTGTGGTCCATGGCGAGCATGTCGAACGTCGCCGGGGGATTGTACGGGACATTGATCCACCTGCTCTTCCCTTCTTGGGAGTGGTTGGTGAACAGTAGCCTCTGCCGGTTCGTGGCGATTATCTCGCGCCATTCTGCCGGACGATCTTTGGGTAGGTAGGAGTCGAGCACAAGTTTGCGGTGGCGCTTGTGAAACACCAGCCTGTAGCACCGAGGCTCATCGTCGGAATCCCCAGGCAACAAGCTGATGACGGTGGCCCCCCTGTTCTTGGCGGATTTGGGGCACAGCCTCCACCACATGCGGGCTCCGTCGAAGTTGTCGACGACCTCCTGGTTCTTGTCAAGACTGATAAGCGGGTCGTCCTTGCTGTTGTTGCCGAGCTCGGCCTTGAGCTTGCTTGCATCATCCAAGCACACCCTTCTCAGGTAGGTGGAGACGGCGAAGAACATTTTGTTCCATTCGAACCGCTCTTCACCGTACTCGGAGATGGTGATCTGCTCATAGGGGTTGAAGTAGGACATCACCATGGGAACCAAGCTACTGATGATGTGCCTAGCCTCATCATGGACGTGCTGCGGCATCCTCGACCAAAGCAAGCCGAAGCCAGCCATGGCCGACCCGAACCCTACCCACTTCTCCACAGATAACGCCATGAATGCGCACTGCAGCCCCTACTCACCTAATCAAGCTAGCTAGCTCTCTGTAACGGTTGCCGTTGTGGCTGTGTATGTTTACTGTTGCTACTATGCCCTCGGCTTATATAATCGGTAATTTGGCGCGTAAATTATCTGCACGGCATCGTCGAAATTTCGTCGAAGCAAGTGCAAGAGGTGCTATTTAGACTTAGATGACAAGAAGTAGAAATTGCGTGGGGCGCGGGCGCTAAAAGACAAGAGTAGATGAAAAGGAACTTTAGGCTTGCGTATCAGCACGAGAGGGGCTATCACCACCATGTTGGGTTTAGCAATTAATTAGGGCGCAGAAAAAATTGTGTAGGATTTTGTTTGGAATCTTTGGATGCGTGGGTGGACCAGGGGCACTAAAAGACAAGAGTAGATGAAAAGCAACTTTAGGCTTGCGTGTCAGCACGAGAGGGGCCTATCACCACCATGTTGGGTTTAGCAATTAATTAGGGTGCAGAAAATAATTGTCTAGGATTTTGTTTGGAATCGTTGGATGCGTGGGTGGACCAGAGTTGAGAGCCAACGTCAATAGGCCGGATGGTTAGTTGCTATTTATAAAAAAATTGACATGTCACCTAGAAGCTGGAGGCCACGATTTTTGCAGGCGAAAAAACAAAGGTACAGTACGTGTTAACACTAGTCAAAGAAGATTTGTACAGGCGAAAGGCAAAACTTTTATCAGGCAGGCGAAAGATTGCACAGTCCGTGTTAATTTTATGGGAGAATTATGTATTTGGCACTGAAACAAATCAGTCTTCCGCATTTGGCACTAAAAAAATTGGACTTTCTTATTTGGCACCAAGTTAAAATTTTCTTCCCTAGATAGCACTGCCGAGCATTTGATCTACGAACGGCGTCAAGTGGCTAGTAAAATTATGAATGCCCTTCTTTGTAGCAGAAATATGGGAAATAATAGATGCACGGTCATCGAAGAAATTGCCCAGGCATTGCCTGCGAGTCCCAGTGACCCTCCGGTCAAAGACCATGCGTGTGCATGATCTCACGCTGCCTGTGTCATCGCGATGACGGCTCCGTGCCCTGCACCGAGCTAGCGGCAGTTTGGTGGGTCCGGTAGACTGGTGGCATCCTTTCCCCCCTCTAGGTATCCATCGGCGACGTCCAGAGGCCAATCCGCCGTCAGTCCGGCACCGGGCTCCACTGACTCCCATGCTTTAGTTCCTTCCATGCAGCTTCCTCCCCTCACTCTTTTCAATCTTTCCATACCGCTTTTTTCCCTCCCAGACAACCACGGGGCAAATTAAGAACAGCGCACATTTAGCAGGCACCGCAAGTTATTTCATCGCATCTTTCAACCTCGCTCGCAGAGAGGAGCTAGTGTGCAGTGCGTGTCTAGGTAAAACAATAGCCTGAGCACGAAGCTGCTCGCCAACTGTGGGTTTTCTAGATCGACGGCATGGTGGTCTAGGGACTATAGGATCGATCAATGGCGTCGTCAGTTAGCGATGTGCTAGCGGCAAGGGCGGCCGTGGCGCGGAACGATCTGACCGAGGCGCGCGACGGCGCGGCGAGGCTCAGGAACTCCGTGCTGCAGCTGGACGACCAGGGCGCGGCGTGGGTGCAGCTAGAGATCGACGGCGTCCTGACCAAGCTGTCGAGCGCGATGTCGGCGTTGGATGTGAGCGTCGGGTCGGACGGTGCGAGGCCACAGCAGTCGGGGAGCTCGAGCGGGAACAAGAGGAAACAAAGTTCCAGCAAAAGGTGAGCAGCTCGGCCGCTCAGGAAGTCCACGAAGAAATTGGATGCGTGAGTAACAGAGGGTATGTTGGTCACTAAGAAAAAGCTAACACGGTCAAAATAGTCAACTAACAGATGAATGGATGAAATGGACGGTAGTGTCATATAGGGGGGCGCTAAAAGACAAAGAGTAGATGAAAAGCAACTTTAGGCTTGCGAGAGGGGCTATCACCACCATGTTGGGTTTAGCAATTAATTATGGTGTAGAAAATAATTGTCTAGGATTTTGTTTGGAATCTTTGGATGCGTGGGTGGACCAGGGCGCTAAAAGACAAGAGTAGATGAAAAAAGCAACTTTAGGCTTGCGTATCAGCACGAGAGGGGCCTATCACCAACTTGTTGGGTTTAACAATTAATTAGGGTGCAGAAAATAATTGTCTAGGATTTTGTTTGGAATCTTTGGATGCGTGGGTGGACCAGAGTTGAGAGCCATCGTCAATAGGCTTGATGGTTAATTGCTATTTATAAAAAAATTGACATGTCACCTAAAAGCTGGAGGCCAAGATTTTTGCAGGCGAAAAAACAAAGGTACAGTACGTGTTAACACTAGTGAAAGAAGATTTGTACAGGCGAAAGGCAAAACTTTTATCAGGCCAGCGAAAGATTGCACAGTCCGTGTTAATTTTACGGGAGAATTCTGTATTTGACACTAAAACAAATCAGTCTTCCGCATTTGGTACTAAAAAAATTGAACTTTCTTATTTGGCACCAAATTAAAAATTTCTTCCCTAGATAGCACTGCCGTCCATTTGGTCTAGAAACGGCGTCAAGTGGCTGGTAAAATTATGAATGCCCTTCTTTGTAGCAGAAATACGGGAAATAATAGATGGACGGTCATCGGAGAAATTGCCCAGGCACTGCCTGTGAGACCCGGTGACCCTCCGGTCAAAGACCATGCATGTGCATGATCTCACGTGCCTGTGTCATCGCGATGACGGTTTCAAGCCCTGCACCAAGCTAGCGGCAGTTCGGTCGGTCCGGTAGACTGGTGGCATCCTTTCCCCCCTCTAGGTATCCATCGGCGACGGCCAGAGACCAATCCGCCGGCAGTCCGGCACCGGGCTCCGCTGACTCCCATGCTTTAGTTCCTTCCATGCAGCTTCCTCCCCTCACTCTTTTCAACCTTTCCATACCGCTTTTTTCCCTCCAAGACAACCACGGGGTAAATTAAGAACAACGCACAATTAGCAGGCACCGCAAGTTATTTCCTCGCATCTTTCTACCTCGCTCGCAGAGAGGAGCTAGTGTGTAGTGCGTGTCTTGGTATAACAACAGCCTGAGCACGAAGCAGCTCGGCAACCGTGGGTTTTCTAGATTGACGGCCTGGTGGTCTAGGGACTATAGGATCGATCGATGGCGTCGACGGTCAGCGACGTGCCGGCGGCAAGGGCGGCCGTGGCGCGGAACGATCTGACCGAGGCACACGACGGCACGGCGAGGCTTAGGAACTTCCTGCTGCAGCTGGACGACCAGCGCGCGGTGTGGGCGCAGCTAGAGATCGACGGTGTCCTGACCAAGCTATCGAGCGCGATGTCGGCGTTGGATGTGAGCGCCGGGTCGGACGGTGCGAGGCCACAGTAGTCGGGGAGCTGGTGCGGGAACAAGAGGAAACAAAGTTCCAGCAAAAGGTGAGCAGCTCGGCCGCTCAGGAAGTCCAGGGAGAAATTGGATGCGTGAGTAACAGAGGGTATGTTGGTCCCACTAAGAAAAAACTGACACGGTCAAAATAGTCAACTAACCGATGAATCGATGAAATGGACGGTAGTGTCATATAGGGGGCGCTAAAAGACAAGAGTAGATGAAAAGCAACTTTAGGCTTGCGTATCAGCACGAGAGGGGCTATCACCACCATGTTGGGTTTAGCAATTAATTATGGTGCAGAAAATAATTGTCTAGGATTTTGTTTGAAATCTTTGGATGCGTGGGTGGACCAGGGGCGCTAAAAGACAAGAGTTGATGAAAAGCAACTTTAGGCTTGCGTATCAGCACGAAAGGGGCCTATCACCACCATGTTGGGTTTAGCAATTAATTAGGATGCAGAAAATAATTGTCTAGGATTTTGTTTGGAATCTTTGGATGCGTGGGTGGACCAGAGTTGAGAGCCATCGTCAATAGGCCGGATGGTTAATTGCTATTTATAAAAAACTTGACATGTCACCTAAAAGCTGGAGGCCAAGATTTTTGCAGGCGAAAAAACAAAGGTACAGTACGTGTTAACACTAGTGAAAGAAGATTTGTACAGGCGAAAGGCAAAACTTTTATCAGGCCGGCGAAAGATTGCATAGTCCGTGTTAATTTTATTAGGGATGGGGAGCCGCTTGGGTAAACAGTTTTAACCAGGCGGGCGTCTCAGGATCGCCAACCGTGTAAATTAACATTTACCCGGGCGGCAAACTCAACGAGCCACCCGAATGTAATGAAAGTTTACACGTCTATGCTCAAAAGCAAGCCCAACACCACCACCAGGCCCAGGCAGGCCTAACGATCTCCTTTCCAACACTCATTCCCGTCGGCCCACGCTTCCAGATCCTTCGCCTCTTCCTGCGGCTCTGCCGACCATCACCACCATTCCACCCGCTCCATGCCCTCGGCCGCCATGAGGCCCGTCGAATTCACCATCAGAGATGATCTCGCCGTGGTTGCCAGGGTCCTCGGACAACTCCATGCGCCGTCCTGGTCAGGCGCATCGCCCACGGGCCCGATGACCGTGAGGTGCCCGCTTCCCTCACAAGTCACGATTCCTTGATTTCGCGTGGGTGGGTGGGTGGGTGGACATATACACACTAGTAGTTCAAGAGACTGATAAAATAATCCCAAGTCTCGCATTATTACATTATAACTGCAAAGTCTTACGTGCAAATCCATTTGAGACACTGAAGCAACAACACATTACACATGCATATAGACAACACTCCATCCAGATCCGCTTGGAATAGTTCAACTTCCGTAGGAATTGGAAGAAACTGATTTCCACACAGGCCTCACCGACTGTAAATGAAGTTACAAACTACAGCGAAAATGCCAGAGAGTACATACAGAGGAACCAATATACTACTACATGTTGAAGAAAAACAGAAATCAGAAGGAGAACTGCTCGTATGCTGCTTTTACAGGATGCGTCCTGTTCTGTGTTACCTAAATGAACTGTAATAGGCGTTAGTGCCCTTCCTTTTCCCTCTGCTTAGTTGAAACTTCATGCTGTTGTCTCTCCAGTAGATGACTGATCCTGAGACAGGAAGCAGTACTACTAGGAGCTGGTTAACTTTCTGTTTTGGGAAATTTTGCTCAGGGACGTCGAAATTTGCTGGTGGACATTACAAATTTCTGGTTCTTTGTTCAGAGACATCGTACCAATTATTTTATACATTTTTTCAGTTTTGGAGAGAGAATGTGGGGGAAATGTCTAAACTGCCCTCGTCTTCAACCTCTGGCACCTCCTTCCCCAAGCTCTTCACCACGCCGTCCCGAGTCTGACCGTGCGCCGCCGCCACCATGTCCAACGCCGCGCCGCGCCCTCATCCCCGGTGAGGCCGCGTGCCCCTGGCCAGGTCCCTGTCCCCCGGTCGCGCCCTCGCGCCCCTATCCCTGCCGTCCGCCATGGTCGCACCCCGTCCCCGGCGGCCGCGTACCCCCGACCATGTCCCCGTCCCTGGCCGCGCCCCCATCCCCCACAAGAAGAGAAGACTGGTCGCCGCCGGAGTCATGCTGTCCCTGCAGGAGAAGGCGGGCCTGGGTCTCCGACCGAGGAGGACCGCGTCGAGCTTTTCCGAGCTCCGACGTTGGCCGCGGCGAGGCGGAAGGCGAGCGCACGACTGATGCCATCCGAAAGAGCCCCACTGCATGCACCTACGCCTGCACCGCCGGATCTGTAGGAGACAGATGAGGACGAGCTTGTTCGGGCTCCGGCGAGCCCGCCCTCGGCGAGGCCCCGCCCGCCCCCGGCACGACGTCGGCAAGGCCAAGGATCAGAGGGAGCAGACCACGGGCGGGTGGCTTGCAGCTCTGCAGGCTAGCGAGCGCCTGGCCGGAGCGCCTCCCACCCCCACCCCCCCACCCAAACGTGCACAACACTGAGCCATGGCAGACAGACAGAGGTGGAAGATGACTGGCAGGTGCAATTTCGTCTATTCAGCGCCCTTTCTCTCTCCCAAACCATGAAAAAATGAATATTTTAATGGGTTCTGAGTGATCTAGGTGAGATAATATGGCACAAGATACTCCCTCCGTCCTCACATAAATCATAAGTCAACTTTTAATTTTGACCGACTTTATAAAAAAAGAGTATCAATATTTATGACACCAATTTAGTAGCATTAGAGACACCGTGCATGGAATATATTTTCATAACATGTGTACTCGGTGGATCGTAAATATTTGTGCCTCCCTTGTAATGTAGATTTTATTCAAACATAAAAAAGTTTGACTCGAGAAAACTCTGTTTGGGGATTTAGATCTACTCCTTTATTGAATGACATTGTAATAACACTGTATTATTGAATAATATATATAACATCGTGACACGCTGCACAGAAAATATTAGAGGCATGCTCCACTACTTCCATAGTATATATTTGTCCTCCACGAGACTGTATACAGAAACTACCCTCCAAAGCCTCAATTGGCAACTGATACTTCATAACAAATGCTCAATTGATAAAAGTATGCGATGCACCAGAATCGAACAATATGACTGCGGGTTGTTTGGCAACAGAAAACATACCCATCATAACAGGTTTGCCCTTTGGAATAGCTTCTGCCTGAGCGTAGTGAACTCGACCCACCTTTGAAACAACCCTGTTCTTTTGATTATTCTGCTGATTATTCTGACGCTGTTATTCTGCTGTTGGTTCATTGGGGGTCTCTGAGTATTGACCTTCCTGGGCTTATGGCACTCCCTAGAAAAGTGTCCAGTCTTACCACAGTTGTAACATGGGTAGTTATGATTTGGTGGGTTACTGGGACGAACAC